ACACCATATCCGGTGCAACATCATCTTTGGTATTTTGACGTGCCTAAAACAAAACACAAAGAGAGAGAGAGTGTGTGTGTGTGAAAGTATAAATACATTGGGGACGTTCGATCCCACCGAAAATCACTTGATAAAGGTCCTAATTTCGGATTTTGTGGTATCGCGCATAAGCTGCTCAGTTGACCTTAAGATTACATTTCCCACTCGTAAAATCCTTAACTGCCATTGGTCGGTGTAATATTTTAGCATGTCATTTTTGTGGCTCTCTCAAGGACGTTTCTATCATATATATTAATAAACTCGATTTGTGTGTTTGTCGACCACATATTTTCTGGTTGCTTGTAGAATACACTTTCTACACTATATGAAGACTTCTTCCTATACTTAGTGGGGTTGGACCAGTAAGAGAAGAGGATATTGTAAGGTTACTGGTATTCAATCATCAGTGTTTTCGAAGCATTGCTCGTGTATCCTGGTACAATCGAGTAAGTAATGTTGATGTTACGAAACGGGTTCTAGGTAAGAACGACAGATTAATTGATGAAGTAGTGATTATTGACCAGTTGAGATGGTTGGGACATGTGTCGCATATTCCAAACCACCGACTGCCTTGTCGAGCTAGGTTTTCCGATATAGGAATATGTTGGAAGAAAGCTATGGGTGGCCAAACCAAACGATGAAACAAATTCCTAAAGTTACTGACAACTGGATTGAGCCATGTTAGTAAGTGTCGACTACCTGGTTGCGGTCCGCGAGATAATCGTAATCGATCGTTAGAGATCATGAATGACATCGCCAAAAATCGTTTGCAATGGTGCAGGTGCATTCATTCTTTGTCATCTTTTAAATCCTAATCTTCTGAATTCTTCATTTCTTTTTGCCTTCACTTCATTGGATTATACGCCTATCCTAATCTTTTCGATCATTTCTACTACCAATACTACCACTATAGGATTTGAATCGACAATTACGTCTGAGTTCTAATGTGGTATAGCAACTTGAACTGATGTCCGTACTTACGTCAGTCAGTCAGTCGCAACGAAGAACTTCGTACGTATGTTCATAAGTGCATGCTGCCATACCACATTAGCACAGAGACGCAAATGTCAAATCAAATCTCATGGTGGTAAAGATAGTAGAGGTAATAATGGTAGTGAACAAGACTAGGGTTTGAAGACATTATTCAAGGAGTATAATTCAGTGAGATTAAGTTAGAAAGAGGTGCTGACGATTCCAACCACATCAACTGATGAAGTTTCACTACTTCATCTATTGATTTGCCATCTCACCTAGTACTTATTTCCTAACTATAGCATTGCTTCCTCGGTTGTCCCAGGATACACGAGTAATGCTTCTTAAACATCTACAATCGAATACTAATAACCTACGAATGTCCTCTACTCTGACTAGCCATGTTTCGCATCCATATGATGGAACATAGCGAACTACTGCGCAGTACACTCGTCCTTTAGTCAGCGAACGGATACCGTACGTACAAAATTCTACATTATAGCTGACTGACTGACTGACTAACTCCTCTAATCACATTGTAAATATTGAATATGAAATTTTCAAAAGAATAAACTTACTAAAATATAATTATCAAAATGAATTAACCATGGATTAAGTAGAATTTGTTCAATTGAATCTAATTCTAAACACCATTGAGCTATAGAGGATAGAAAATAATTCATTGTAGTATGATATATAGGATTCCATAATGATTGCACTGTTGTCGTCGTTGTCATTGTCGTTGTCGTCGTGAATGTTACCGCTGACGATGATGATGACCATGAGTGTTTATTGGATAAATAAAATAATTTCAATTGTTGCACATCATTAAATATATTTATTGTTTGAATAAGTAATGCATTAAGTCGACGTATAATTTGTGGCAATTTATGTGAATCTGACATGGAACTAATTAAACATGATAGAGAACGTATACTGGCTGCTAATACTGTTGGATGACGTTCTTCATCTAAACTCGATTCAATAATACTTAACATGATGGAAGATTGTAAATGCGACTGTAAGAAAATAAAATCATATCAGATAATTAGAAACAAAAAAAAAGAAAGAGGAAAGAATTATGGAGAAAAAAAGTGAGGAAAAAACTGATTGACAAAATTGGGAATGTTAATTAACTTAGTTAAGCGGAGATTTTTACGTAGGTAGCTGTTATTTGATTGAGACCAATTTGGTCTCGTGTGCTGTTATGGGTATGAGGGCGGTTGTTACTTCCTGGCTGCCCACACCGTGGAAGGGTATTTCTCGAGGAACCTGAAAAGGAATGTAGATGAGTGTCAGTCTTGGAGACCAGCGAGCGTGACCGCAGAGCCCAGGGGACAACTACTTGAGGCCTTTTATTGAGAAGTTTTTTGAGTGTTAGCTCCGTTCTTGAAAGCCTTTAGTGGGCACCCTTACCGACGGAGACGGAAATCCGTGAGGTAGGGTGAGGTGTGACATTTTTAGGGTCGACCTTTTCTAACCCTTCCTTCCTTGTGAGAAGGCAGCATCGCTGCAGATGTTGGTTGTCCGAGAGAAACACCTTACTGCTGTCACACCCCTCTGCAGTCAGAAGTACGACTTCGCCCTCACACCTTAAGTAGCTGCTTTTAGTCTAATCATTCTCCAACTGACCTACCTGGCATGGTAGAACCTTCAGGAACATATGTTCCAGCCAATATAGCTCGGTTGGGTCATCACGATAGGCAAGCCCGACCACCACGTCAAGGTAGCAGCTACGGTCGGGAAATGTTAATTAACTGATTAGGAGGAGATTTTTAAGTAGGTAGCTTCAGATAATTGTCCAAATGACAACAATTCTATACTGGATATGATTAAAAAAAACATCTCAAGGGAAACATTGTGCATTTACTTAGCTGATAGAATGTTAGGATAATCACCAAATGTCGTAAGAGTACTATTTTTGGAAGTATAATCATCTTGGTCGATTTCTATTGGTCAAAATTATGCTCGTTTTAACTGTCAAAGTCAAAAACTTCAATGTTGTCTCTTATTGGTCATCTGGACTGTCAGTGTCATTTCAAATGTTACTTCCTATTGGTCGTCCTAAACTGTCAATGTCACAGACTTTGATGTCCTTTCCTATTCGACCTAAATGTATAAATATGCACTATGTGTAAGACTTCGTGTTTCCGTTTCTTCCTGCCTATCTCTCTTCTGTACTCGACCCAATAAACAACTCCATCCAACGGTGTTGCGTTCTGATATATAGGAGATTTGGGAATAGTATTTGGGTCGTATTGGAATATTTGAATTCGGACGTCGGTAGGATTTGAATAGGTACGTAGCAGCATTATAACAGAGAATTAAACAATAGATTTGACGAGAACTAATTTTATTACAAATATGCGCTATGTCACTATTGTAAATCAGATCAGAAGGGTGAATAAACTGTAGTGGTGTTTCGTTCTCTGTGCTGTGGATGTTTTGTTTGTGGAGCTTTCATTGTTCTTCTGACCGACAACATCATCAGCACAAACTGCAGAGAGAAGTGAAGTATTCGAATTTTTCCACGTTTGACCTGTAGCAATAGATTTAACCCGTTGAGCTATTTCATCACTCTACTGAGCTACGCTTGAACTAGTAAAAACTATTCCAGATAATGTAGATAAGTTTCTCAGGTGTTAAGGTTACACAAACAAGTACAATTCTACTTTGATAATTTATTATAGACACTTTTTATAGAAGGTAAATTTACATATTTCCAACGAAAAAAGTTTTTTTTTCAATTTGATTAGATTTAATCTAACCAAGTAGACTAAATATCCCAATGAATTAGTGGATTCTATCTCCAAAGAAAGTAGCGTTGTATGAAATATCAATAACTATGCATCTTGTAAACTAGATAAGAGAAAATTAAAGATATAGAGGAATATCCGAACTGATTATTGATGCTTTGGGATGAGTGAGTATAACGTGAACCGAACCAGGAGGATTATTTTATCATACATAACCTCCGTCTTTAATCCCCAGTTAGATTTCTAGCTGTAATGGTGATTTTACTGATTGAAAGTGACCCTCCAAGACGCTTAGCGAATTATGGTGGGTTTCAAGAAGTGGGCTTGTTCGCATAAGAGTATAAAGGGTTTAAACAAATTGTCAATATAATGATATCTTATACCACAGTCATTTACACTGTTGTCTGTTTGGATCAAATGTTTTACTGACACTTATGGGCTGGCGTAGAATGCCGCAGCACATTTTCGTCACGAAAGTGTTTGTGTTTACTTTCATCAGCTAAATTCAAAGCGGCTGTATTGGGTTTTGTAAATAAATTGAGGATGAAACTGACAACTTATGTATTATGCTCTAATCACCAAAAAAGTATGTAAAATAACAGCTAAATACTCCTACTTTGTTACCTAATGGATAGACTGTAATATTGTATTTTATCGTACAGACAACATAATTAAAATATTTGAAAGGTTCATGAGCAACAGATTAACACTAAACACACATAGAACCCTGAAGATTACACTTTCCGTGAACTATGGCTAAATAATGAAATGAAGACAGCGTAACAATGAAAATTAGTATATTCCCATGGGAGGAATTACTTTACTCCATGTATTAACAAAAGGTCACCTGGGAAGGTTTAAACCTAAATGATCAGTTTCTAGATTGATTTAATATATCCGAAACGTGGTTCGGTATGTGAATAGTTGTTTTGTGTAGACAATTTATTGATAACTTATTGCACAAGTTGGACAGAAAGTCATTAATCTTGGGCGTATTATGATTGAAATTTGTCAACATTATAATTATTAGACTAGATCAAAGATTTGTGTTTCCTTATGGAGAAAGAATTTGTTCAATATAATAATATATAGCAGAAATTCAAACATAGTTCATTTATAGTAGAACTGAAATAATCGATAATGAGAAATTGCTATCTCGCTTATGTTTACACTGCTAAGGTCAAAACGCCGAAACATTTTAACTCTTTTAAAACAAAATATATAGCAAAGAATATTTAGAATGGCCTATCTAATCTTCAAAGTGAGTGTTTTTCTTCCCTGAGAAAGTGAGTCTATCGACAAACATGAACGCAGGTGTACACCCAACGAATTACCATTATATATATATATATATATATATATATATATATATATATATATATATATACATATACGAACCTGTAGCGGAAATCGAACCCACGACATTCGGTCTCATGTGTGAATGTTTAACCTCTTGATCACTAAACCGTTATCGAATGATGTTAACGTCTAACTTCAATTAATCCATTTCTCATGGCTTATCGTTAGAACTCCGAGAATTTCCTAACGAAGCTAGTCGACCATGTTGAGTGTGAGACAGTTACCCATCGAAGACAATGGGTGATGGTCACGTGATATCGTCGATTGGTTGAAGTTAGACATTAATACCATTGTATAACAGTTCAGTGGTCAAGAGGTTAAGCATTCACGCGTGAAGCCAAATGTCCTCATTCTCCAACCTACTCAATATTGGGCCTTCTTTCCCGGTTCTATCCAACTGCCGTTCATTCTTTTCATGTGTATTTCCAATTCTCGGCGTAATGTGTTCTTTTTCCTGATGTTGAGAGTAGAGTTATGCTCCTATATTTCTCACACTTGCCGAAATCACCTTTCTTTGCTATATTGATCAGCTGTCTTTTCTTTCTAGTCTGTTGGTACTTGTTTTTCATCCCAAATCTTACTGAAGGGGATGTACAGTATCTGTGCAGTTATTGCTACATTTTCATTCAGTACCTCTGCTGGAATGTTGTCTCGTCCCGCTGCTTTACCGGCCTTGATTTGTCTGATGGTCATGCTGATCTGGTAGTCCAGCATTGATCGGGAGCTGCGTGGATGCTGCTTCGATGTTGAGTAGATTCATCGGGGTTTAGCTAGAATCGACGTCGGAATAAATCTTTCGATAAGAAATGAATAAACTTCTAGCTTGATGAATGTTCGAAAGTTGTTCGCTTACCGTTTCTCTGATTCTTTCCTCTAGATTTCCTCGTATTATCCCTCTCAGCACACAACGTATCTACTTTCCTTTGAAGGCAGGTTCATTCATCAGGTAATCAATCACAGGCACCTAACTGAGTTTTACATAATGACATATAAAAAAATATAAACCAATCATACATCATACATACAATATAATCATTGAACTAACCGGAAGATGAGGAGCAATTACACCGCATGCTGATAATAAAAGAAGTCTTTTAGATAGATCAGATATTGCACATTTATTTATTTGTAACCATAATCCTGGTAACAGTTCACCTTCCAAACGAGCAGGACCTATAAAATAAGAATAAATTGTAACAGAAATATTGATGTACAAAACTCCGTTAAATAATTTAATGACAATTTTCAACTTAACATTGCAAATGGTCATCCAAGATCACCACCACAGGTGAACGAACAAACGATGTCACTTAATGATTGTAAGAAGTTTTCTCTACTAATGAATGATAGAATTTAGCCAGTCTAAAGTGTGTAACCAGGTTGATATAATAATCATGGTTTACTTAAGGGGGGGGGGAGTCAAACTTTAAGTTTTTAATTCAGAAATCTTATCTATATGAATATGAAGCAACGCTAGGATGTGCAGTCTAATAATAACCAGTGATAAAAATGAGTTCGTACGCTGCTGGTCGCCCACTTGGGATCCTAGAGTCTGTGTATATCATCAGTGGTTTAGAATGATAGTTTTCAAACTTCTTTAAATGAGTATTCTGCTTATAAACCTGGTGGTTTAGGCGTTTGATACCCACTCCTCATGATACTCAGGGGTAACCATTCGATAGAATTTCAAGTGAGAGTGGAAGATTTTCCACACTCTTGGTAGTACTTGGCTTTACAGTCTGAGGAGTAACCGATAACCTGTTTGAACGCCAACCGACTAACTATAAGACTGAGATATATATGTATACTGATCGATCACCAGGAAACGGGTTAATTTCAAGCCCATATAATGACTAGTGCTAACCGGATTGTATCGATCAAGTTACAAACGGCGGCTACTCTAAATCACTCAACATTGTGTACAGTATGCTTCGATGTCAAGTGATCAGATGTGATCTGTAGGAAACGAGTTACTTAGATTATGAACCACACACTGTAATTGAATCGACAAAATCCGATCGGCACAAACAGGACATCTGTCACTAATCAGTGAGCAATCAGTATGGGCATCAAGATAATTACTATTAACAAGTGGCTAAAAAAATCCAGGTGATTTTTTCTCAATCTAATATAAAATTTCCTTTCAGTCAATCAGTCAGCTACAACGTAGAACTTCCTACGTACGTACATCACTTCAAGTTGCCATATCACATTAGCACAGAGAGATCCAATTGCCAATACTAATCCTATAGTGGTAGAGGTAATAGAAGTATTAGCGGCAATGGAGAAGATTACGGTTGGAAGAAATTATTCAAGAATCGTAATACAGTGAAAATAATTGAGAAGAGAAAGATGAATGTTATGAAGAATTCAGATTGGCATTTAGGAGAACACAAAAATGGATGCACTTGCGCCAGTGCAAACGATTTTGAGCCACGTCATCCAAGGTATCTAAACATCGATGGTCTTGCGGACTCCGATCTGGTAGTCTACACTTACCAACATGACTCAGACCACTTGTCAGTGACTTGATGCATTTGTGTCATGTTTTGGTCTGGCTGCCCCTAGCTTTCTTCCAAACTACTCCTACACCACAAAACGTAGCTCGATGATGCAGTCGCTGGTTAGGCATTCGTGACACATGTCTTGACCATCTCAACTAATGAAGTTTCAATACAGCATCTACTGATCTGACATCCCTACCTAGTACTCGTTTCCTAACAGAGCTGCTTACTTGATAGTCCCAAAATAAACGAGCAATGCTTTGGAGACACGTATGATCGAAAACCCGTAACCAATGAATATCCTCCATTATTACTGGCCATGATTCACATCCATAGAGCAGGACGGAGCGAACTGTTGTGCAGTAGACTCGTCTTTTGGTTAGTAGACTGATATCTCACCTACGCCAAAAGTGACACAAAATTTCCTTTAGTCACTAAGAAACCCAAAAAAAAAAGCAAAACACCCATGTTTCCAACAGGCTTTACTTTACTTTACTTACCTAAATATGAAGCTAATAATCGTAAAGTATTTAATATATGCTTAGAGAATTCATCATGATTTATTTGACCAATTGAATCACCACCACCAGTATTCATTTTAATAAGACTTGGTGAATTCATAAAATCCATTGAGATTTTATGCTCAATTGACGAGGACGATATTGATGTGGTAGTGGAGGATGAGGTAGATGATGAAAGAAGATCAAATAATAAGCATAGAAATTGATCACGTACTGATGCATTGGAATGTAAACAAATAATTTGAACTAATAAAGGAAGAAATATCTGCACAAAAAAAAATTGAGCAAAACAAGATGAGATGAAAAGTGTTCGGTTTATTTTTTGTAGAATTAAACGAAAAAGCTTAACATAAAACGTACATGATGAGAAATATTGATTTCCTTTTTTTAAATTATGAATCGATCAATGTTAGACTACCACCATTAGAAACCTGGAAGCAAGGTGAAGTTCAACCCTGTTCGGGTGTGAAGCAATGTTCACCGAAGACAGTGTATGAGGTTGCGCAAGACCGTGAATTGATCGAAGTTAGACATTAACACCGTTAGATACCGGCTCAGTGGTCCAGAGGTTAGGCGTTCGCGCGCAAGACCGAAGGTCCCGGGTTCGAATCCTGTGAGGTGTAGGAGTCGTGGATGCGCATTGATGATGAGTCCGATACAAGGACGAAACGGCCGTCCAGTGCTTCCAGGTTTTTAATAGCGGTCTATCAGTGATCGACTTATGATTTTAAAATGTAACTCAACCATCTCTATAACCCCACACCGAAATATCGATTTTATGTAGACTGTTAGGCTTTTATAGTACGAAGTTAACAAAGCAAGAACGACTAACAAAAAGCTCATGTGTATCTGGTTTTAAGTAGATTTTGTTGAGTTTGTAATGAAAGAAAAATTCAATAGTTTTTATTGAACTTGGTTAAATACTGTATCAATCATCTCAGTTTCTGTAACTTTGTACATATAAACGTATTTGTATTCGATATGGCTTTTTTATACGTATTGCTTGTACAAAACATTACTGTCATTGGCTGTAGAGTGAGAAAAAATACAGCAGGCTTCTGAATGGTATCTATCTGCATTAGTGATCACAAAACTGACGGTACATAGCTTAAGTGTTGCATACATTTTAGGCTCGATGACTCCTTTTCTGGTTGTCTACCATTTATTACTTGTTTAACTATGAATATCATTGAAACTGAGTACATGAACCAATCGGTTACGATCATTAAACGGAATGATTCTGTTGAACTTAACGTATCGTACCATTCATTTAATAAAATTTATTCTAGAATTTAGTTTACTCAGGTTGAGGTTCATTTTCCTCGCCTGAACGTGTTCCAACAAAACGAAACAGTTAACTATGCCATATCAATTTCATAAAGCATTCTTGAATGAGATGCAAATGTAAATAATTCCAACATTGACGAGACAGATTATGCGAGCATTGAGTCAGCCTTTGCATTTAGAAACGTTTGTCTTATCATATATTATAAAACATCTCACAAATTGAAATCGCATCCATGAGTGTTAAACAGCATGATAACATTCCGATAAGTTTCATTCTGTTATCGATTGCACTTATTGCAAACCAACTTGTGGATTGCAGCATCAGTTTTCCTATGCGCTAGTTCATACTTTTCCAGAGAAAATAGCAGGAGTGTAGAAAAACTAGAGGTTCGTTGCTCTACTACTAGGAACGAAAATAATAAAGGTGAGGTGAGGCATATTATTTTTAGGAGCAACTTTTTCTAACCATCTCCTTCAATTTTTAGAAGACAAAATCGCTGAAGATACTAGTCGTTTAACGAAAACACTTTAGTGCTGTTTATTAGTATTTACTTAAGCCTATTACTCCTAATGGAGCATAAGCTGCCAACCAACATTCTCCAACCGATTCTGTCCTGAGCCTTCTTTTCCAGTTCTGTCGAATTTCTGTTCGTTTGCCGCATGTCTGCTTCCAATTCTCGAGTTAATGTATTTATTGATCTTCTTCTTCATCTCCTTTGGTTTTGAGGGTTTCAGGTGAGAGCTTGCCTTGTGATTTAGTTAAGTGCTTTCCTCAATATATGTCCTATCCACTACCAATTTACTGTTGTTACACTCCAATAAATCCAATAACATGACTTAACCCTCAAACCTTAATAACTTATTTTTAATCATACCGTTTTCCAATTAACATGGAACCAATGGTAGAACTTAAAAGAATAACTGTTTTCTCCAATATCGATCGATTATTAACCTCAAGGTTGCAACTATGACTGGTTTTTAATTGAATTTCTAACGTTTAAAAGTAAGACTGTAACAATAAGACGGCATTTCATCTCCGTTCTCCAATAATTGGATCTAAATCCTAATGATTAGCCTAAATATGTTGCACCAACCATCTTTTTTGTTCAATAAATCTTGATTTATAGGGACCGGTTACAGTAACGATTAACATTTTACATAGAAATTTTTCTACTTCATATTTGAAGTCATCACAACATAATATCAACAGACAAGTCTTTGAGAACCATTGAGCACAGAAGAAAATTGTTGTATCGACGTTCTGTGAGTTATCAATAATATGCAGACAGCTTCCAATCATCCTATAAAGCATCATAGTGAGAATGATATTGTTTCAAACTACACACATACGGTATTATGAGTTTTTAGCCTACTCAGTCAACAAATGTGTTAGGATATTCATCCAATATTCTAAGAGAATTACTGGTCAAATCCTATTGGTCAAAATTATGATCGTTTTAACTGTCAAAGTCGAATACTTTAATGTTATCTCTGATTGGTCATCCAGACTGTCAGTGTCATTTCAAATGTTACTTCCTATTGGTCGACCTAAACTGTCAATGCCACAGAATTCGATGCTGTTTCCTATTCGACCAAAATGTATATATACTCATTGTGTAACGCTTTATGTCCACGACCAGGACCCGGTCCCGGATCCCGATTCTCTTCTGCATTCAGACCTTGTACTTTTTGGATGCTTGTAGAATACATGTTCTACTTCATATCAAGTCTTGTCTTATTTTTTACTAAATATGGGGGGCTGGGATAATTGGATTTGAGTAGCATATCGTGTCGCCGAAGACTCGATCCTCGATCTCGTTTTCCGACTAAGGTAAACTTGTAATAGTTCAAGTATAACGAGTTGACGTGCTTACGTGAAGGCGTAACAAAATGCCAAGAAAATACATAATGAAGATATATATCCATTATGAACACAAAATACTTACTAATTTGCCTTTATCAATTAAATATGGTAAAATTTTTTCAATATATTGAGCTGAAAATGTGACAAATTCATCTAATGAATCAGTTAAATGAAAATTATGATTCATTTCATTCAGCATTAAATCATCATCCGGTAATAAATGAGCAATATATTTGGAAAATTCTTTAGATAATTTACTTTAAAGAAAATAAAATGAGAGAATAAAAAAAGAGAGAAACATTCAATGTACAGCAAAATGAATACTGTACGATAAGAATGAACTGTCATACTTTAGTAAAGCTTTTACAGTAATACAACAAATCATAATCATATTTTGGGGCAGAGTTTTCGAGGTTTGTGTTTTTACACATTTGAAATCATCAATCAATCAATGTTAGACCACCATTAGAAACCTAGAAGCACTGAAAGACGGCCGTTTCATCCTGGTATGGGACGAATCGGTAGCAGTGCGCATCCACGACTCCTGCTCCTCGCAGGATTCGAAACCGGGACCTTTGGTATTGTGCGCGAACGCCTAACCATCGGACCACTGGGCCGCAAACCTCCAAAACTGTGCCCCAAAATATCGTAACAGTGCTCACTAGTGATTAGCTTCGTGAGGAAATTCTCGGAGTTCCAGCTGAGAAGACCTGACTAGTGGAGTTCACCCCTGTCGGGTGTAGGCAGTAACTACTAAAGACAAATGGGTGAGGTCGTGCAAAATCCATAGATCAATTAGAGTTAGACATTAACACCGTTGGATGCCAGCCCAGTGGTCCGGAGGTTACGCGTTCGCACACAATACCGAAGGTCCTGAGTTCGAATCCTGCGAGTTGCAAGAGTCGTGGATGCGCACTGCTGACGAGTCCCATACTAGGACGAAACGGCCGTCCAGTGCTTCCAGGTTTCTAATGGTGGTCTAACAATGATTGATTGATGATTTCGAATGTGTAAAAATCATAATCAGACAAGACAATAAATAAATTTTTCCAATTAGAATTATGGAGATTAGTGTTGTTGCACATTGAAATAATCAGTCGATCAATCATTAGAAACATGGTATGAGACTCATCAGCGGTGCTCGTTAACGACTGCAGCACCTCGCAGGATTCGAACCCAGGACCTTCGGTCTTGCGTGAGAAGGCCTAACCTCTAGACCACTAGGCCGGCATCCAACAGTGTTAATGTCTAACTCTGGTCAATCTACAGATTTTGCGCTACCTCACCCATTTGTCTTCGGTAGTTACTGTCAACACCCGACAGGGTTAAAGTCCCTTGGTCACGTCTTCTTACTAGAACTCAGAAAATTTCCTTACGAATCTAATCACTAGTGAGCACATTTTTCAATAAGTTATGGAGATTAGTGTCGCTTATTACTTAGTGTTGCGGCTTCAGACGCGAGTAGATATCACATGTTACAGAAAATAATCTAGAATATAATTATTACCATTTTTCTATTCCCAGTTTATTATTTCTTCTTGTTGGGGACGTTAGATCCCCAGAACTCATTTGATAAAGGTTCGAATTTCAAATGTTTTTTATGTCTTCGCGCATAAGTTACTGAGTTGACATTCAGATTACATTTCCCACTCGGTAAATCCTTGTCTGTCATTGGTTGATTCATTGTTCTAGTACGCTATTTTTGTGGCTTTCCTAAGGACGTTTCTATAATGCATAAATAAACTCGATTTGTATGCTTGTGAGCCTTATATTTTCTGGGTGTTTGTAGAATACACTTTCCACACCTTATCAAGACTTCTTACCATAGTTAGCAAGGCCAGGTCAAGCAAGAAATATTTATAACACTGAGTTCATTGATTGTGCTACACATTTTCCAGCTTCAATCAATTCGCTGCAGTATTTAGTCAATATGTCAATAAATATGAACGACTTCTTCGCCTACAATTTAATAAACTTTATACATATCGTAATTTCCTATTATAACTTTGATACAAACCGTCTGTAATATCTGGTCTTAACTACACAGGATGTAACTCAAAATCAAAAATGTGTTATAATTCTCTCTTTATTACAACCCAGTTATTCCTCTTAATGCGTAGTAGTCTCGGACACCAATTCACTCGAAACGTTCTCCCAAAATCAGAGCACGGTTGAACAGGAAATAAATTATAATCCAATAACAAGGTTAGACGGTAGACAGTAATGTCCAAAACATTATAGTATACTTAAAGTTTTTACATGAGGAGATTCTAGAATGTTCCCTCAGTATCGATTAGCGCTGATTGGATATGAAAGAGCCAATCAGAGTGCAACAACGCAATCTTGCTTTAATCCAATCTATGTCCCGTTAACAGTTATTGAATATGATAACAAATTAAAAAATAAAAATACAATCTCTACATCATTTAAAAGTACAGAAATAAATCCATTGATAAAAATAATAATAACAATAGTGAAAAACAGGTGCATTAATGAAGCGATAAAAGCCAATTTTATTGATTTTCAATGAAATCCTAAATAGTTTTATATCATTGGTTGGAGTCAATCGGAGTGAAACTGTTGATAAGGAGAAAGTAATAAGAGAGCTGTTTTATACTACTTTGCAGCTGAATCAGTCTATTAGTTAATTAGTTATGAACCTTTCACAAATATATCAACACAATGAGATGACTTTATCAAGATAAATGCCATAATAGACAGACAGATACAACGCAGAACTTCGTACGTACAAACATCAGTTCAGGTTGCCATTACCACATTAACACAGAGACGCAACTTTCAGTTCAAATCCCATAATGGTAGCGATAATAGAAGTATTAACAATAATGGAGAAGATTAGGGAGCGAAGATTTGATTCGAGAAACATAATTCAGTAAGATAAATTTAGAAGGAGGAAGGGAGAGATTATGATGGATGCAGAAGCTTAGAATTTCATAGAATACAGAGAGGGGATGCACCTGCGCCATTACAAACGATTTTGAGCCATGTCGTTCAAGGTCTCTAACCATTGATGACTTTTGTCTCGCGGACCCCAACCAGGTAGTCTACATCATGGATTTCTGCCATGTTTTGGTCTGGCCGCCCCTAGCTTCCTTCCAGCCTACTCTTACACTGCAAAACATAGCTCGTCAAGGCAGTCGGTGGTTAGCCATATGTAACACGTGTCCCAACCACCTCAACTGATGAAGTATCACCACTTCATCTATTGATTAGCCGTCCCTACCTAGAACTCGTTTCTCAACGACAGCATTGCTTATACGGTTGTCCCATGATACACGAGCAATGCCATAATAGCAGCAGTAGTAGTATTAATAGAAAACATTAGAGATGGATAAAATAGGATTCTAGAAGAAATAAAGAATTTATGGAATGAGATAATTCTAAAATTGAAGACCTTGCACCCGATTCTGAGCAATTCGCCTCAACGTCTGCAACCAATAGTTAGGGTAAGAGGTAATGGCATGAATACAAACTAAATAATCTAGACCTGATCCAGTTCAACACTAAATGATTTCATGTGCTAATCCCATGTCTTTATTTTTAATAGTTCCTATTTTTTTTTCAATTTCCTGCCACACCATTCAGCATTGAGTATCGAGTTAGGGGGTTGCTAAGCATATGTAATACGTATCCTAATTTTACCCCAGTCGATAAACATTCACTACTTAATCAAGTGTATTTAATTAGGAAGCGTGAATTGAAAAAAAACATAACTAATCACTAATTTGTAAATAGTCATCCAGTTAGTCAGCTATAACGAAGAACTTTGTACTTTCGTACACCACTTCAAGTTGACAAACAATATTAGCACAGAGAGATCGAATTGTCGAGCCGAATCCCATAGTAGGAGACAAAGTAATAGTATTAACGGTAATGGAGATTATGGATTGAAGATATGATTCGAAAAGTATAATACTGTGAAATAAATTTAAGAGGAGATAAGAAAAGGTCCTGAGATCATGCGGTCACGATGATGCGTCTGCGCCGTTTCAAAAGATTTTGAGCCATGCCATTCAAAATCTCTAACTATCTGTTACTAATGTATTGCGGATGCTAACAAGGTAGTCTACGCCTTCTGATATAGCTTGGTACTGTTTTCAGTGACTTCATGGATTTCTGCCATGTTTTGGTTTTGCCGCCCGTAGCTTTCTTCAAGCCTACCTCTACATTTGACAACATCGCTCGTCAAGGCAGTCGGTGGTTGGGCATTCGTAACACATGTCCCAACCACGTCAACTGATGAAGTTTTAATACTTCATAAATTGATCTGCCATCCTTACCTATTACCCTTTTCCAAGACATAAATAAGAATAACCATACATGACGTAACACACAAGCACACTAAGATCATTATTTAAACCACTAAACTGTTTCGATTGGTCATAAGCAACACGCAATCTGACATATATATGCGAGTTGACTCAAATTGACATACTACGTTAGCACACTGAAATAAAACTATTCAGAAAAATCACAAATTAAAACAAATAACTCACCGACGAGATTTGTCAGTTCGATCGGGAAAACCATATATTTCAGGAGAAGAATATGAAACACTGTCATTATCACTGAGATTTGATTGGTCATTGCAATCATCATCTGAATCATTCACCTTCACTACAGTAGTGTTTGCATTTTTTGTAGTAGTATGTTTAGTTAATAATGTTTTATCTATCATTTCAATGTGTTCACTAATGAAATTTAAAAAACAAAGAAAATACATATATTTTGAATAGATGATATGACAATTCAAATAAATCTAATACTCGTAGGTAGTATTTGTGATCAAAAAATCTCATTTAAAATATCACTGAAAACTAAGGGGCACTGTAAATCTGCCTCATGAGGATCCTCAGTGGTGCAAAGCTACTATATCATTAGAGGTGAGAACCCAGGATCTTCAGCTATCTCAATGGAAGCTTAACCATTAGAATCAATGGGTTAACACGTCCAACGGAATAATTCCAAATTTACAATCAATTTGTAATACAGAGAGGCGATTAGACAAACTCACTGATGACAACCATCTTATTGTCGACACGTTCGAACTTGTAGTGTGGTGCGAACTACTTATAAGTAGTATATGACGTGAGTGTCAACGTAATGTCTGGCAGCAGAAGATGGGGAAAGATCAAGAAAGGAAGAGTTAGACCACAATGGAATTTGTATGAAATGCATGAATACTGACAATGGATTGATGTTTTGCAATAGGAACAGTCCAGTTCGATGTGATGAACTGATATTTTGCAAATTAACGATTTACGATATGGTTTTCCTATTTTACTGAGTAACTCTGTAATTTTCGTTAAATACAATTCGGTTGCCCCACCTGTGTTCTCGTTCACTACAGTCGCATTATACTGCAAATTGATTGAGGTTTGAATTCAACTCCTAGATGCCGGTCATGTAGTTACTGTGAGACCAGTAGGTTTGGCGATAGAACCCCAGTGTGATTACAGATGCGCACAACTAAAAGGTTTCATATTCAGACGAAACAGTTGCTCAATATCCCTGGTTTCTAAACGCACTCCAAATAAGATCAATCAAATCAAACTAATCTCCATCAAACCCTTCCAAATAAATCGCATATTTGTCCGAATATAATTAAACTATTTTCTGACATCAACTGAGATTCTAACTACATTTGAAGGAAAATCGGAGTCGCAAAAAGATTGCTTTAAATAATTCCATTATTCTATCGACTTTAACCGAAGAATGATAAACATCGAACAAATTGAATACGCTTGTTACCCGAAGATACAATATGTCACTTGAAAGGCAAACTACTAATTGCATAAAAAGCATGACATCAACATAGTGAACTTGCAATCCACCTATAGAGGAGGTTCCTGAACGAATAGATTTTCAGTTAAGCAATATGATATGACGTTTAACGTACACAAAAAGGGTGAATCTAAATCTTAGAATTCCAAGTGAAGAAAATTCTAGCACAGAATCTATCCGTTTTTCGGCACTCATATTAAACTATGATCAATCGAAATGACGAAAAAAGTTTCAATCTATCACAACTTAGAGCACAGATATCAATTAACTAAATGATCAGAGATCAAGCCATGTGCCCATAATGATTATATAACTAGCTGTTGAGGACAATCGATTAGGAATAAGGAAGACTTGATCAACTTGGTAGAAAATATCAGCCCAACAAATAATTTTATTCAGTAAAAAGTAAACAAAGACCATTAATAAAATCATTATTTAACATTTTTTGAAACCATAAATCGACCAACGTTAAACCACCATTAGAAACTTGGAAGCAGAGGACGGCCGTCTCGTCCTAATATGGGACCCCTCAGCAGTGCGCATCCACGATTCCTGCACCCCGTAGGATTTGGACCCAAGACCTTCGGTATTGTGTGCGAACGCCCTAACCGTTAGACCACTGAGCCGGTATCTAACGGTGTTAATGTCTAACTTGATCAAATTCACGGAGTTGCGCAACTTCATACACAGTCTTCGGTAGACACTGCCTACACCCGAACAGGTTGAACTTCACTGGTCACGTCTTCCCACTAGAACTCGGAGAAGATTCCTCACGAAGCTAGTCACTATTGAGCACAGGTAATTTGCATGACGGGGTTGTGAAGATTGTTAAGTTACACATTTTTTGAAACCATGAATCGATCAATGTTAGACAACCATTAGAAACCTGGAAGCACTGGTATGGGACTCCTCAGCAGTGCGCATCCACGACTCCTGCACCCCGCAGGATTCGAACCCAGGAACTTCGGTACTAGGACGAAACAGCCGTCCAGTGCTTCCAGGTTTCTAATGGTGGTCTAACATTGATCGATTCATGGTTTCAAAAAATGTGTAACCCTAACAATCTTCACAATCCCGTCATGCAAATTTGTTTAACACCAACTAATAAAGTGGGTTTGGTTAACTACACACATTACAAACAACAGCGTGATATCATTCACGTGAAAATACACAAGATTAACTAGCAGAAATTACTAATATAATATCAATTATACCACGTACCGTTTAAGACAGATTAGTTTATTATGTAAATCTTTGATTTTTTGTGAAGCGGTTGAATATTGTGATTCTAAATGATTGATTTTGAATTTTAACGATGAAATCTCTTCATTCTAAAAATTGTATTATATAATTAGAAATGAGGAAATATATTTTTTTAAGGTAAAGTAGAAACTTAATAAGTTAAGATAGAACAATAGAACAAACTATGAAGCAAAAAAAAAGCTAGAAATCAACTAAAGGACGAGTCTACTGTGCAGCTGTTCGCTCGGTCATACTATACGGATAAGAAACATGACCAGTCAGAGTAGAAGACACTAGTAGGTTATTAGCATTCGATTATAGATGTCTTCGAGGCATTGCTGGTAATATCCTGGGACAAGTGAGCAATCAATGCTGCCATTAGGAAATGAGTACTAGGTAAGGATGGCAGATCAATAGATGAAGTAATGAATATTCATCATTTGAGGTGGTTGGGACATTTGTTACTAATGCCTAACTACTGACTGCCTCGATGAGCAATGTTTTGTGGTCTAGGTGTAGGTTGGAAGAAAGCCAGTTGTGGCCAAACCAAAACATAGCACAAATCCATGAAGTCACTGACAAGTGAAATGCATCATGTTCATAGATGTAGGCTACCTGGTTAGGGTCTGCGAGACGAAAGTCACCAATGGTTAGAGACCTTGAATGACATGGCTCAAAATCGTTTGCAATGGCGCAGATGAATCCACTCTTTGTGTTCTCTCAAATTCTAATCTTCTGAATGCCTGTTCATCTCTATCTTTCTCTTTCTAAAGTTATCTCACTGAATTATACTTCTCGAATCAAATCTTCGAACCCTAATCTTCTCTATTACTGCTAATATTTCTACTGTCGCTACCACTATTGGATTTGAACTGATTGACTGACTGAGCAATCAACGACACTACGTTAAAAAGATTACGAATTTTTTGATAAATTCAAGAATGAAGTTCAAGCTAGATGAGAATCTCTTTGAAATTGGAATATATCGTTAGCTGATCATTGAACAATAGCCCAACCTGATCGATGGAAACCAACCAACAGTAAGGATTGAATATTAATGACAATGGTTACTATTCAGTGACAAATCGATGTGTTTTTGATAGGCCAACCGAAATTGGTAAATTACTCAATACCATTTTCCGATTTTTAAATTTATTCGACTGTGATATTTTCGATCACTAATCTTTTCGATTACCATTAATACTTCTACTACCTCTACCACTATGGGATTTGAATCGATCTCTCTATGCTAATATGATGTACAAACGTACAAATTACTACGTTGTAGCTGACTGACTGACTGACTAAGATCTACGAGAATGCCAAATAGTTTTACTACAGACAAATTTCAACCTCATATAAGTATATACATACAGTATTCACTGTGGTTTGGAAGATAAACGCAGGCAAAAGGGGGATACTTCATCTTGAACACAGTGTTGAACCGTAAATTCCAAATTAAAAGTTGTAATTGTATGAAATTTATACCATTATATTTTCATGAATTAAAAGGTAACAAATACACCATACTACTAATGAGTAGTTAGGATCTAGCTAATGGAATTGCTATGTATGTACATATCGCCAAAATTAACATTAAGCATTGATTTACTTTCATCATGGACAGTAAGTAGATGACCCAACGATCAATTGCTTAAGATTCTAACGAAATCTTTAGACAATCACAGTTAGTGTAAAGCCAAACAGATGGATATAACTTTTCGATTCCATATGTCTGGAACAAGACAAAGGAGCAGTTTTGAATTGAAGGAAAGCGATACTACCAGGTAACGTGAATCGATGTAGACAAAGAACAGAGTTTGAATGTGAGAATCAGTAGTTGAAAGTTTAATATATCAATTATAATGAGTGACAAATAGCTTTCCCACGACTCAACGGGTAATCTTATGTTAACTGTCAATCTTTTTCAGTGTACATATTTCTAAATAATAACTGAGCTATTCTCAGGTCACAAATAGGATACTCACACTCGTTAGTTAATACTGGGCAGTAACCCATATATAATTTTTGAATCTCAAAGAAAAACTGACCAAAATTCCACTAGCACTGACTGAAATGCATTCGAATCTCACTGAGAAACTACAAATACGCTTTGTTCACAAGAGTCGACTTTAATGACATCTAGGTACGCAAGTTGGCAAAAGCAAATCGAGCCTTCTGTATCCGAGCTGAGATTTCGTTAATCACCAGGCCATCAGCACTGATGAGACTCCCAAGATAAGTGAAGTGATCAACATGCTCGACTACTTCACTCCCTATCACTAGTTCAAGTTCAGATACAAACCAGTCTTGAAGCAACATTTTGCATTTCGAGGGTGAGAACCGCATCCCCAACATGCTTGCATTGTTGCTTAGAGTGGTCAGAAGACTCTGCATTTTGTCAGCGTCTTCACCGAATAGAACTATGTCATCGGCATATTCTAAGTCAACAAGCGAGCCACCTGGTAAAAGGTCTGCTACAGAAAATTCAGACGAGGATATGGTTATTTCTAGGAGCATGTCTATGATAAAATTAAACAAGAATGGAGAGAGTGAACATCCCTGACGAACACCACTTGAAGTAAAGAATTCCGTCGACAGTTCACCATAAGCCCTCACTCAACCAGTGGTGTTCGAGCAGACAGCTAGTATAAGGTTAATGTAATTCTTTGGTACACCTTTCAATGACAGACACTGTCACAGAACTTCACGATCCACTGAGTCGAATGCCGCTTTTAGGTCCAGGAACACAACTATTGTAGGACGGCTATATGTGTTTCTGTGTTCCAGGACCTGTCGTAGTGTGAAAATGTGGTCTATACAGCCACGTCCAGGTCGAAAAAAGGTGGTTCTCTCGACTACGTTCAATTAATTACTGTCAAATATAGGTAGATATTAATGTTAAGTCACCGAAACTAAATGGACACACTTCATAACTTTTGATCAATAAAATATAATTAGCAGTATTGATAAATTTAGTAACTAGATCTAACTCCAATACATAATCATTTTATAAAGCTTCTTATCATCAGATAATTAAGACAATTTTACTACTATAACTATCAACAATGTGAAAACAGAAGCCAAGTGTTGGAGAGTTATGATATTTGAAACACACTGCTATAATGACACAATGAAAGTTTACAAGTCAAAAAGTAAAGGAAATGTGTGTGTGTGTGTACGTGTGCGATTGTATTATGTTGGAAGAAGTAAATGTATAAAAAAATAACTCATTCACTTAATACAATAAGATAGTCAAATAATTAAACAGTCATTTATATAACTAATTATATAAATAAATATAAAACAACGGACATGATAGAAATGATACATTTACTTGTCACACGACTGTCTCACTTTATTTATTACTAGTTCGAACAAGTATAAACTTGTATAAACTTGTCCTATCTCAGTTGTTCATTACAATATACTTACTTATATGCTTAAGCAGATAAATGTTCTCCTTATGGTTAACAACAATATGATAACATGTACAGCTAAAATGAGTTATTCACACATTTTTTAAAAATGATAGCATCTCCCACAAGTGTTTAATGGACTGAGATCTGACTCTCATTCGGACGAATGACTGATATATGTTAGGAAATAGATCTTCCCTCCAATTTCCATGGATCTCGTTAATAAGGAGTCAAATACGGATTCAGTTAGATGAGTTTATTTCAATGCAATGGTTCATGCAGACAAACATAAGGATATAAAAAGCGTTCAACTAAAACAAAGCGAACTGGAGAAGGCGACTGAGTTAACTCAATGAGAGATAAGGCATGACTAGTAGTGATAGTCAGACAAAAAGAGGCCAGACATGTGGCAAGCGAAGTAAACATGAACACACACACACTCAAATAAAAACAACCAAAGATATGAGCAAATAACTGTAAAGATTGAAAGGCATGTCAATAATGACTCGAGAAGAATGGATCGGCTGATTTGGGACAAGCCCTGTGAGCTCGACATATTTGTACAATATACACTACAAGTGTTTAGATAGTTGAATAATAATATTTAAAAGTATTTGAAGAAATAATATGAGTGAATCTCATTATTCCTTATTCTTAATATATTTACCTCAAACTGATAGATCTATTGTAGAATTATACATACAAATACGCTTTGTTAATTCAAACATTTTAAGAATAAATGGTAAATAAAGTTACAGAAAAAATTGAACTACTCACAATTACACCTGACTAAGTGGATAGATAGATTTAAAGGTTAGTGAGTCAGTTAGTTACAACGTAAAACTTCGTACGTATGTACATCAGTCCAAGTTACCATACCGCATTAGCACAGAGACACAACCATCAGTTCAAATCACATAGTGGTAGAGATAGTAGAAGTACCCGCAGCAATGGAGAAAATTAGGATTTGAAGATATAATTCAAGAAGCATAATTCAGTCAGATAAGTTTATAAAGACAAAAATAGATGTGCTGACGATTCCAGAAGATTAGGATTTGAGAGAGCACAACGAATGGATGCACCCGCGCCTTTGCATACGATTTTGAGCCATGTCGTTCAAGGTCTCTAACCATTGGTGACTTTTGTCTTGCGGACCCCAACCATGTAGCCTACATCTACCAACATGACTCAGTCCACTTGTCAGTGACTTCATGGATTTCTGCCATGTTTTGTTCTGGTCGCCCCTAGCTTTCTTCCAACCTACTCCTACACCACAAAACATAGATCGTCGAAGCAGTCGGTGACTGGATATTCGTAACACATATCTCAATCACCTCAACTGATGAAGTTTCATTACTTCATCTTTTGATCTGCCATCCATACCTAGTACTCGTTTCCTAACGACAGCATTGCTTACTCGGTTGTCCCGGGATGTACGAATAATGCTTCGAAGACACCTATGATCGAAGACAAGCAACCTACGAATATCTTCTCAGACTGGCCATGTTTCGCATCCGTATAGTAGGCCAAGGCGAATTGCTGCGCAGTACGCATTACGATTTTAAGGTGTCAAAAGTTTCATTACAAACTACGAGTGTTATTATTAATAACAGGATATCATTCATAAGTAGAATTTCCCTGCATTTGTTAAACAGTTTAAGTTGTCACATCATAGCAGCACAAAAGATACAGAGACGTTGTAGATGTTGATTATCTAAAGGAAACATCTTATAACAGTCACACATCTTATCCAGTATAGTTAGCAGTATAACTTTACCTTCGGTCCTAGATTTATTGCTTTCTCTGATCAACCTATCTACTGTGATAGAATCTAAAAGAACAAGTGTACTAGTAAACGTAACTCGATTTCGGTTCATCACGCTCAACTATGACGTTAAACTAATTGCTACAGTCGGGTGAATAAGTTATAGGATTTAGGAAAAAAAAGCCCAATATTGATTTGGTTTTATTTCACTTCAATCATTTCATTTGCTATACACAATGAGAACGAACTTTCAATACATTTGATGAGTACTTTTAAGGTGTGTAAATTGTTAGTCGCTAAAAGACCTACTTGAAAAAAAAAGTATGCATACATTAAAAAAAATACAAAAACCACTTTACATTTTTATATGTGCACGTATGATTCAGTGAGAAAAGTTTAGAAAGTCAAACTAGAGGTGTTGAAGAATCCAGAAGATTAGGATTTGAGAGACCTCAAAGAATGGATGCACTTGCGCCATTGCAAACGATTCCGAGCCATATCGTTCAAGGTCGCTAACCATTGGTGACTTTCGTCTCGCGGACCCCAACCAGGTAGTCTACATCTACCAACATACCTCAGTCCACTG